GAGGTGCACTGGTTGAGTTGTTGCCGTCAATTGCAGTTTGCTTATAAATTAGTCTAATTAAAAGCGGAACAAGTGCCATAAAATAAAAGCAAGTAGTAGAAGAAGAAGAAGAAGTCGCTGCTAACTGTACTTAAATATATCCATTTGATGTTCAACGATTTCAATAATTTATACTCAGCAGCAGCAGAGGCAAAGCTCTCAATTGAAGAGCTACTCCTGCTGGCAGCAGCAAATGTGTCGAGTGCTTGCGTTCCTGTTAACTTGGCTTGTTCAATTCGATGGCTGCATTCGATGGCAGCTCAAGTGTGGCGGAATTCATGGATGAGGGGTACGCCAGTTGGGCAGGGGTATTCCAAATTGGGCAGTTGTAGAACCTTAATTAAGAAATGTGGAAGCAAATTAAGAAAGAAGAGAATTTGAGAATATCATACTTAAATATCTCAATTTACGTTTATATTAGCAATTATTCTGCATTTATTTAATTTATAATCCTATATACCCTACACGCTCATTGCCATAAGGGGCATAGCTAGCTGTGCGTGTTTTATGGCTTGTTGCTTTTAATGTCTCTCCGAACGAACTCTGAGAACAGAGAACAGAACATAAAATTTGGATTCAGCTGCCAAATAGAGACAACAAAAAAGTAAAAAGACAAGAACTACTATTATTGGGTAGTAAAAAGAAACTTAACCAAACTATGCTAGGCGGAATAACAAGTAGAGTAAGTAAGCTGAAAAGGCGAGAAACGGGAGAGAGGAAGAGAGAGTGAACGACTGTCTCATGCTCGTCAAATACCTTAAGAGGGAATAGTTAACAACCGAGAATATAATGCTATCTATAAAGTATATGAAAGATGCAGTAATATGACTCTGTGTATATCTATATTTATTAAACATATCTCAAATTCACAGCCTTACAAACCTATACACCCCTTTCAGCGCCCCGCCAACGTGCAGCATAAGCTTTGCTGCAAATTTGTTCGCGCTTTCAATTGACTTTTGTGGCTTTGCCAGCACAGCAAAAAAAGAAACGCAACGCCTGCCACGCCTCCATTTTTGGGCAATGCAAATTAATACGCGCATTGCCATTTAATATGCACGCCCACATGTGGCCACGCCCACTTTAGTTGCAATAAAAAAGAGCCAAAAGTTACACACACACACACACGCAAACTGCGTGTCGGCATTTAGTTGAGCCACAGTGGCATACAAAAGTCTGCACACACACACACACACACACACACACGCTCTCTCCCATTTTCTGTTCTATAAAAACTTCAACTAGCTGCGCTCATTCATGCTGTCTCGCTCGCACTTTTTGTTTAGATTGGTTTTACTTTTGTTTCGGTTGGTTTTGTGCTGCATTTAATTAGCTTCCTTCTGGCAGGAAAATCGTATTTCATATCATTGTTCGGCTAGTTTAGTATGGGGCGTGGCCGCTGGGCGTGGCCATTGTCAACAGTTTTCTTTGCTTTTTTTTGTCATATATTATTTCAGAGCATCCGCATGTCATACTTCATTATGCAGCTATACAAAAGTTGCTGTTAGATATTTGAATTTCATTTTGAGTTTTAGTTTAAGTGAAAATTTGCATTTTTTTTGGAATTTGAGCTGAATGTTTGAGTTGAAGTGGTAAATTATATGGGAGACAGGAAGGTAGAGAACATCGATTACATATGCTACGTATTGTATGGACACCGCTCTACTTGCCTGAAAACAATCCTCAGCCTCTGCTTCGTTTCGCTATCTCCCTATCCTCTCTGTCTGTCTAAGAGTAAGTCCTCTTTCAGTCTCTACCTCTCTCTTTCTAACTATTTCTCTCACTTCTACCAGCCTTGATCTCTTTCCCTCTTCCAGTTCTGCCATCCAATTAAAATACATTCGAATTGTACAACTTTTGCTCCCTTTTATTATCTAAGAAACTTTAAAGTTTCATTAAAGTGAAATAACAAACCAAAAACGGAAACAATGTCAGAAATCTGGCTTACGTATTGAGGCAAAAGTTGGCAAGTTGCATTACGGCTGACAGCAAAACTTTACAAGTTTTTGCTCGATACGAAAACTTAAGCTAGGTAAATGTTATGAAATGCTTAAAATATTCCTGGAATAAGGACTCCAACTTCTCGAAAATTTCAGCTATGACAGCGAGTATCTAAAATATATATCAGCTATTTTAATACACAAATTTGAATACTGTTTACTTGCGAGCTTTACGACCTTACGAATTCTGTGTAAGCCCATTTACATTTCATTCCCCTTACATCTCGCAATTGCTACATCATAAACTCATCCAGCTACGCTCGCTCTGCGCTCTATCTATAATACGCATCTAAGTAGTTGACATCATAATGATCTCCTCCTCTGTCTCTATCTATCTACTTCCCTCTCCATTGAGTTAATCGTTTTAAGTAATTTCCCCAGCGACAGTTTTTTGTTTATCAAATGGCTTTTCGTTAGAGAGAGCATTTAACGGGAAATGCAATCAATAAGCTATGAACATTAAATATTATGAGTAGCACACTACACACACACACACACACACACATGCATATTGATGTTGGCCATTTTGTAAAATGCGCCGCAAATAAAACAAAATGGCGGCAAGCCCATGGCCCGAATGGCCCAAGTTTTACGACAGACGACGCACAAAAATTCGTTGCGAACTAAAAGTGAAAACGTTGTAAAACGTTGCTTTCACTTAAAAATGGAAAGTAGTTCCCTCGCCCCAAAACTCCACCTGCCACGCACACTCAATCCTTTTTTTGCACCAACGGGAAAATCCAGCTGCATTACGCCCCAGTTTAGTCCATCATTTTACAGCTCTCAACTGCTGCTAATGCAAAAGATATGTAACACAAGCACATATCCTCTACACATGCTGATGCTTTTTGTACATATATGTTTAAATATACCCTGTAAACGTATGTATCCAGGTGGGGCTTTTTGCGCTATGAGGAACTGACCTTTCATTTTACATTCATTTGCTTAGCACTCAACTCGAGACTCTACTTATTATTATACTTTGGGTAGGGATCTCTGAAAAACCAAAAAAAAAGTGAACCTTAAACCCATTCTAAACAGCGAAAAATATATTATAATAGATGGACCAAGTCTACAAAGGAAATATATTCATTGAAAATTAAAAAATCTATTTAATAATTATCGAATATTCATAAATAAATGTTCCATTACTTATTCACACAGGGTATAGCCTAGTCAGTCATAGGGTTTGTTTATCTCTCCTTTATTTCTTCTGCTTTTTATTTGATATTTACATTCCGTTCGCTTTCATGAAAAACTCATAAGCGTTTGGTTTGTTTTGGTTTTGGTTTGGGTTAGGGTTTGGGTTTGGGTTTCGGTTTGGTTTTTGGTCTAGAGAGCAAGTCGTATGCAAGTGCTTCCGCTTGTTGCCTTTGTTGACGTGGCTTCCACCTGGAAGCACACACGCCCACCACATGCGTCAACACACACACACACACACACCGACACACGGAGGCCCAAGGAGACACTCGGAGCTCTGCCTTTTCGTTGGGGCATAAAATAAATATTTTAACAATTTATTTATGTATTTGCTTAATCATTTGTGCCTCGTGCTGACACGTTAAGCAAGCATTTGCTTCACTTCCTCTCTGGCTCGAATATATGTGAATACAAATTTGACTAATATCTGTTAATCGTACTTTCAGATAAGAAGCTTAGGCTGATTACATTTACATATATTCCATGAGGTCTATCGCGATATAAACTATCAATAAATACATTTTTATTCGACAAGGCTTCAGTTATAATTCAATGTTAACCCTAGAGCACTAGTTCTTAACACCCACTCACTTTGAAACACATTCATCTTTAGCATAAATAAATATTTGCTCATTTACCAACACTGCAATACAAAGAGTATTTATACAAATGACTCAAAATCACTTTGCATTTCAATTACTTTCCCTTGGCTTTAGGAAAACATTACGCCAAGCTTACCCAGCTCACCTCGAGCACTACTTATCTGTATCTTAGCTAAATAATTGCCCATTTACCAACACTTAAAAGGCCGTTAGTCATTAGAATATCGCAATTATGCTTAAAGTGTTGCTAAACGCTGTGCAGGTTGAGCACTGAAATCGGAGCAGAGTCTTAGCTGGGGCAATGGGGCAAACCGAAAGGAAAAGGAGAGCAACGAACGGGTAAAAGGGAAAGGTAAAGGGAAAGCAAAGAGATTTCATTTAACTAATTAAATATTCAGGCAGCTGACATGTTTTTATCGCAAGGACATTTCGGTTCCAGCAATTAGGGCTAAGTTTGCTCTCTCCTTTTTGTGAAAGCTTGGCAATTACTTATTTAAAGACCATTACAATCTATCTCTCGCACTCACACTCTAACACTCTCTCTGTCTCTATCTATTTATATTGCAGCTGCACAGTGGCAAATGAGAAACAACAATGAGATGCATGCTCAATGCAGGAAAGAGGCGAACTCTGGCCGCAGCACTCAACGACAGTTGTCAGCAATTGCAACAGCAACAGCAACAGCAACATCGGCGACAGCAACTAGTTGCTGGCGTGACAAAGCAACTGTTGCTGTTGTTGCTGCTGCTGCTGCTGGCAGTTGAGCATGCAAAGGCAACAACAGCAACAGCCACAACAACTGCAACACAGCCAACAGGCACAGCAGCAGCAACAGCGACAACAGCAACTACAACTACAACAGCAGCAGCAACAGCAACAGCTTCAGCAGCAACATCCACTAGCTTCGCCTGGCCGGGCTCAACTGCTGCTCAGGGCGATCCATTTAAAAACATTCTGCGCATTGGCGACGGCAACATAGTCACGCGTGTAAGTAGCTTAGAGTTGAGTTCTAGGTGGTTGAGTGGTTTGGGTGGTTGGGTGGCTCTGCTGCTCAAGCTTAATTCATCATCAGCTGCAATTAGCGCTGAGTGCAATTGTTATAATGAGACAGCCTACAGCCACAAGACTTGAGCAGACGACAGCAACATGCAACAGCAACATGCAGCAGCAACAACAACCCGCTGTAAGGCAACATTAAATGCAGGTGCAAATAGCTGCACCTGAGCCCACTCAAGCCAATCGATTAGCAAATTCGCTTTACTGAAGTGGACGAAGCAGAGCAGTTGAACTGATTAATTGGCATCTCAAGATGGTGAAGCTTGTCAGATGCTGCTGCATGATATGATAATAGAGGAGTTGTTAACAGCAACATATATTAGAAATTATAGTTTTTAGAGGTTCATACAAGATTTTCTGAATAATTCAGATTTCATTAATAGCATTCAATTGGTATTTTGTGAGTTCGTGAGCCTTATAGCCATGTACCTAGATAAATATAAAAACTCAGCTCAGAACTTGGCTAAAGATTAGCAGGCATTCAAAGAATACAAAAGGAATTCTTTATTGCTGAGATTTGTAATCAACCAGCAAGCTTATATAAAGGTCTATGATATGAGTGGTGAATAGTAAACAACTACATCTTTCCATGCCTTGGGGCTGGAGCTAATTACTCACAGACTCCTTTCACCTTTTATGGCCTTAAAACAGTAAATAGGTATCATATGATCGTTGGGGAGTGACAGAATTATCAATTGCATTCAGTTGAATTTATTATTCACTTAAATGTAATGCTCTAAAATAGGAATTTAACTCATCAGTAGAAATTAGTTTTTCAATAGTAAAAGAAATTAGTAAAAAATCAACTTGATTGTCCCTATGAAATAAAATTAAGAAAACTTTTGGGTGCCCGCTCGCAGTTCAACTAAAATTCTCTTTGTTGAAGCACTTCAAGGAGATCGTCATCAGGCTGAGGACAACAAAACAAAAGTTAAACAAAACAAAGCAATAAACTGTCAGGTCACACACACACACGCACACATTGTATATTTTGGGTCACTTTATCAATTTCGGGTGAACCAAAGTCAGCCGGCTCTGTTGGCAAGTTTCGCGCGCTCGCAGATTAGAACAAAGTGAGGCAAATAACTCAATTTTCCACTCTAACGATAAAAGCCAAGGGCAGCCGACGCCGGTTAGCTGTTTGTATGGGCCATGAATGTATTTAGCCAAAAAAAAAAATGTATTTTTAATGCGTTGACCAGGCAAACAAGCTAAGGCTGTCTGCCTCTTGGGTAGGGCGTGGGAGCGGGAGTGGGAGTTGGGTTCACTTATAAATATACCTAATGAATAGAGATTTATTGAGCTGCCGCCCCTCTAACTGTGCGCCCCCCTTTGCAGTCGGCCATTGAGCAGTCGCTGGTGACAATACACGACATCGCCACGGAGAATCTGGGCACGCTCTGCATCTCGCAGCTCTACCGACCGCTCCAAGTGCCCCTCAACTCGGAGCGCTTCGAGAGCAGCAGACAAAAGGCGGATTTGGCGGCATCGATTCTGCAGGAAGTGGGCATCATACGGCATGGCGGTGAGTATTCAATTATAAGTACACAATGCGATACGATATAATCCAAAGCTAACTCATGCATACATATACATATACACATCTCTCTCTCTCTCCCTCTTTGAGTTGCTTCTTTTATCACATCAATTATTGATTTATTTTCTGTTTACGCAATTAACCAAAAACTTATGCCCGACTTTGACTTAAGTGGGGCATCGATTTGGTCACTTAAATGACTAATAACAGCCACTAGACTTATTCGAAGGTGGCAAAGCATAACAGACTAATATTACCATATTATTCAACTTAAAAAGTTAAAGACAAAAATCAGTAAATAAATGAAAAGAGAAAGTATATATCATCTATCTATAATCAAGGAAAACCTAACAATCATCCATCTGCATAACTTGATTTAACCACACTCTAAAATGATCAATCAATCCATAGTTCAAGAATATGCAACTACAATGTCAAAATATAACTTTTATCAATCTTTTATAAATTTGTCAAAGCCTTCTTCTTCTTCTTCATACTCTTAGTATTAGATTGCAAATACTACAAAAAAAACGCAAATATCTACTAAAGCAAACAAAGTTTTATATATTTCAAGGCATCGCCTTTCTGTGCGCTTCTCAATCAAAGCATTTAAGACCAGCCAGGCAATTGATATCCTTTCGAGTGGCAGACACAGCTTGCCCCAGCCCCAGCCCCAGCCTCAGCCTCTGCCACTACCACTGCCACCGTCTCTCTTCACAGGTGCAAAAAATTCTCTTAAATTTATTCGATTTGCAAGAAGCTTTTTCCCTCGAATAATTTATACGAGACATCAAAAATTTCCAAGGGGAGTTGGTGTAGCTGCTGCTGTTGCTGCCAAAAATTCTATACACCATTTGCATGCGTGTGTGTGTGTGCGTGTGTATAGCACATACTTATAAACTCATCCTGTTGCTCTCCTGCTGGCATAAGTACAACAGCAACAACAACAACAACAACAATGGGACAAACGACAGCAAATTTGCTTTCACTTTATGCGATTTTTGCTGACACGTCGCACCTTTTCAGTGCTGATATGGAGTGGCTCGACTAAGAGGCTGGGCGACGATGAGCAGCGGGGGCGTGGCACAAATCAAGCGCTTGTCCAGGACACAAAAGGCAACTGGTGTGCCGCCAACACTCACTCAACAAGCAGTTGCTGCTGCTGCTGCTGTTGCTGCTGCTGCTGCTGTTGCTGCTGCTGCTGCTCCTGTGTTAATATCAGAGCCAGTATGCGATGAGTTCATTGTGCGTCTGTTGTCCTTGACAACGCATACGCATATACATGTATACGTATACGGGCGTGTGTATATCAGCTCCGGTTGTCTGTCGTCAAGGCTGCTTGACTGGGGACCCGGACTCTGGCATCGTTGCTGGCGTCGTCTGCCTTGGGGTTAACAACGACGCACTTGTGGCGCATCAAACGTCCTGCCAGCATTCGGTTGCCCTTGCCTCTGGCCTTCTCCTTGCCTTTGTCTCTGCTCTCTGCTCTCTGCTTCGCTCGTATCCTTTGTCAAACACATGCATACAGCTGGACGCCAGTTCCCTCGACTTAGTATTTCCGTCTCCTTCGCCTTCTTTTTCCCTTTCCCTTTTTTAGTATTTTAATTTCAAGTTGTGTTCTGTCCCATTCGCCATTTATTCGGGCTCTGATTTGGCACCAGATTTTGCAGCTCTTTTACACGATAGACAACACAAATGAAGGAATGAAGGGACAGACGGCCTTAGCTCAGATTTAAAATTGCATCGGATAGCAGGGGACAGACAAACGCACAGACAGACGGCAAGTCGGATATTGCACTATGCCCATCGACTCCCCTCACTTTGTGAACGTAAATATCACTCATACGCCTCGTTTAATTCCTTTTTTTTACAAGGCAAACAGGCCTCAATTTTTTATGGAACCACTCAAATAGTTCCATGTGATTCACTTTATAAATATATGCAAGGTTTTTTCAACAGAAAAGTTTCCTTTTTCGGGGAAAACATTTTTTCTCGCTAATACAAAGATTTATATGTGTAATTAAATTACGAAAAAATGGAAAAATAAATTCAATATATCAAAGAATTTATTTGCAATTAATTTCACTTTTATCAAGTATTCACTCTCGAAAAGTGAATAAAAAACGGGAAATATTTACTTGAATAAAATTTAAATAAAAGCTCTAATAGGAAACGCTTCATGAAAGGCTTAAATGTTTTCCGCACCTCTGCTGATTTCATAAAAATTTTTAATCAAATGCATAGCATTTATATCAAGTATATTGCATAGTTACAAATAATTTTATGGAAGCATTTAATATAAAAGGAAATAATATGTAGTTAAATTTAAATCATTATTAAAGTCCATATCCATGACAGCTATACAAAAATAGTAGCTTTGATCTGTAAGGATATATAAGAGATACTACGTCCATCTTAAATTCTAAGCTTCAACTAAAAAACTTGAAAATTGAAGAGGTCGAAGACCGTCTTAGGATTCATATGAAAACAACTAAATGCGCACTAAGCCTGCCTAATGACATAATTATCAAACAATAATCCATCTCACTCTCTCTGTCTCTCTCTCTCTCTCTCTCTCTCTCTCTCTCTCTCTCTCTCTCTCTCTCTCTCTGTCTCTCTCTTACACGCCATAATCAACAGATTATTGTGAATCAAATTTATCTTTCCCAGTCTGCAATCAATTGAGTAAGCTCTTAATGAATTGTGAAGCAAACTGAGCTCTTAAGCTCTGCCACACTTGAAAGTAATTGTTATGGCTAGTTAAGACGCCGTTATTTGCTGCTGGCTCAAGCCCGAATCCTAATTGCCTAAGCACCTGTTGCCGCAATCAAGTGGCTCGGTTGAACATCTCACATATTGGCACACGTGAAGCCGCAAGAGTTTGAGAAGTGTAATTAAACAATTATAAACTACAGTTTTCCAATCATCCTTGTCTCGTAATCAACCGACGATAGCTACAACTCGAGTCGAAATTCCAGCTGCTGTGCCAAAAATCGAGTCTCGATGTTAAATGGTTTATTGGACTGAAGACGAGGCGAAGCTCTGCTAAAATTTAATTACTCAGCCAGAGAGCAGCAGCCATAAAAACAATACACACATCGTCACACACACCTGCTGACATAGAAAAAGAGAGAGAGAGAGGGGGGGAGAGAAAGAGACAGCAGACGAGTTGAATAATTGGCAATTTTGCATAGAGACGAAGGAAAAGTTTTGGCAGGCTGGCAACAAAAACAAATTGCTTACAATTGTTGCAAGTTGCGCATGTTTATTTCTGACACCTACACACAAAACACTTGCAACACACACACACACACACACTTACTCAATGGTCATAAATTGTGAAGTTGGGTCGCTCTCAAAGATTGATGATGCGAGCCGAGTGCAAGAAATCGCACGCAGATGATGAATGACAAACAAGGCTATAACACATACACACACACACACATACGCCACGTGTACGTGTGTGTATGTGCGTATGTGTTAGGTGAGCATCTAAGCTGCTTGACAGGCGTTGGCTAATGCTGTTTGCCATAAGGTTGAGCTGCCAGAACTTCCAACCTGTCTGTACTTGAACTTGCCACACTTTGTGACAACATAAGGTAGCCCCTTCCCTATTACTCTCTCTCTCTCTCTCTGTCCCTCCCTCTCTCTATGTCGTGTGCATTTCATTTTAACACCCGTCACAAAAACTTGCCACATTTACTGGCAACACGTTGCCCGCCGCCTGCGTTTTATTTGCGTGAACGAAAACAACTCTAAAGTGCCACTGCCAAGACATTATACATACCAATCAAAATATATCATATATATAAGAGATATATGAGAAAAGTAAAAGGAAATATGTATAGTCTTTGGTATTATTTAGTCGCAAACTAACGACCCTTCAGTAGAGTAGAGTAGAACTGAGATTAAGGCAGTTTATAATAAAAATATAAAAATATTTTTAGATTAGTCGTGTATATGATATAACCATATATATATATATATACTTTCGTACATGGAAAGTATCATGTATCTATGTTTGCATAAAATATACTTGTATTCATTTATATTATATTTAAAGAGATCAATATACAGTCCACCTTATATCAGCACTAGTATGATTACTACATCTAGGACACGCTCATATTCCTCAACACTGTTAAAATACCTCTCTAGGTTAAGGTATACTTTAGAAAAAGTAGCACGGAAGTTACGCTAATCGAATTTAAATAAGTTTACCTTGTAAACATTTCATGCTTTTGTTGCCTTTGTTCCCTGGAATAAGTCAAACAGAAATGCGGCTACCCAGGCAAGTGTGGGAGCAAAAATATTAACTTTTGACAGCGTTCACCTTCCCCCTCTCTCACTCTATCCGTGTTCCTCTCTCACTCGCTCTCTCGTTCTTTGTGACTTCCGTTTCAGACAAGTAGGCAGGGGCCTGGGTCTATGCGCGCCTCGCGCATATTAATCATTGCGGACGAGCATTTTTTCCTACCAAGGCTACAAAAACATACTTGCAATTTCTTTTGCCTCTTAATGGGGCCTTTTTCCATATAATAAAACTATTTCAAGGTCAACATCCCAATGACAGCTGGCCTGGAATGAAATGTAACGGCAAATTTTTAATTTGCACAATTAAGCAGCGCAGCTACATACATATATTTTTCGCGAATTGCAAACGGTCACACTGGCATTGGGTCGCGCTCATAATTGTGCTTTAACGATGCTTCAGCTTATACACAGCAATTTCTTGGTATTATCAATTCCAGCTTACTCGGAATGGCAATTATTTATTGCAAAGTATGAACAAATGCACACAGATATAATGACGCTTAATAAGCTCCATTTATATTCATGGTCGTGGGCAGCTTAATATATGCTGATTCTCACTTACCTTCATTACAAAAGTGTCAATGAATCTTAAAAAATGAAAAATTAATGCTCGTAGCATTTGCAATTCAATAAAATGCAACAAAGAACATCGAGAGGAATGACACCTGCAATTATTCATTTTGTAGCGAGGCCAGCTCAATTCGCCATTAAGCAACAGTGGGAGGTGTCATTTCAGTCCACCCACGGCGAAGTAGGCATGTTAAAGCGAAAGCGAATTAACAGCCGACGCAATGAGAAATCATTGTAGAGTGAGTTAGCGAAAAGTTAACAGCTCAATGGCAAGCAAAACGGAAAATATGTAAAGGCAATCAAATGCAAATATTTATGTGCTGCAGTGAGCAGCAACAAGGCGCGTTAAGTGAATTATTAATGAACCTACCTGCCTGCTGTTCATCTCTTTGTGACGTTGTTTCATTTCCTTCCTTGCGCAGTGCAGCCTTGTAATAATTTCCCTTTCACAAGTTTCGCTTTATTTTAGCTCTGCTATGAAGCAAATCAAGCACTCAATGGAATGGCAATTCGCTGCTAAGCAAAGGTCGTAATCATTCCAGTCGAGGCACGGCGAAGAACGGCATTAAAGCAAAAGCAAAAGCGAATTGCGATACGCTTAAGAAACGAACAATACATAAAGTTACATACATATGTATATACATATGTATATGAATATAATATTAATGAGAATACATCTTTGTTTTTAATCTGTTCGATACATTCCCACGTTCTCTCACTCTCTCTTTCCTTCGACACAATTTGCGCACTATTCGCGATCCGCTACTAAGCAAAAAGCAACACTCAAAATAATGACACCTTCAAGATTTTTCGCCGCCACAAGGCACGTTCAATTCGCCATTTGCGAAAAAGACAATTAAAGCGATAGAGGGCCGAGCTGCATACATACATACAAACATACATATGCTCATCAACGTGTGCACTACAAAATATCAGCGAAAAACGCCAATGCAGCGAAAGCGAATTCCGCTTTGTGTATTTGCAGGAGCCGTTACAGCAATGAAATGCAACGAAAGCGAATTGAGCCTCGTTGAGTATGCCGAAAATTACTCAAATGAAATTTGAAATCAAAATATAAATTAAAACAATGCGATAGCAATTAAAATGCAAAGGTTTCTGTGCTGCAATAAGCAATTAAGTGCCGTAAATGAAATATTAATGAATTTGTCTGCTTTTCGTCTGTTTATTCGACTGTTTTCGTTTCGCTGTTTTCGCGTTTAATTTCCTCATTTCCGCAGCAGATTTTAAATTAATTTCCACATTTCGCTTGTGCGCTGACCTACATTCCCCCGGCGCTTACAATCTATTTACATACAAATTTCCATACAAAAATATATGTATGTAAGTATCTCCCTTTTTTGTTACAGGACTCTCTGATGCGCTGGCCAAGGGCCTGCTCACTGATGAATACATAAACGGAGCACGCATTTTAGCTTTGAACCTAACCAACGGCGCAGTCCAATCGTACGTCTGGTGGGTAAAGGGCGGCCACGACAAACTAACCGAGACGCAGCGCTACGAGGAGGACGGTCTGCAAATTGGTAAAAAGCCCGCACACAGTTACCCCTGGTAAGTGGAGAGCGCACAATGAGAGCAAATTGATGACTTTTTCCTAATTGTAGTCGTAGAGCTTCAGACTGAACTGAAGGGGTATATTCCACATTACATCTACAAATACCTTATGCCTATCAGATTATTTACACTTAATTCCATAACTAGCAAAAGCAATAGCAAAGAAATAATGGAGAACTGTCCATTTCACTCTCAGATGAATCTGATTAGTTCCTTTCTCGAGTCTTTCAATAAAAATCTGTCGTTTATTCATAAAATATTCATATATAATAAGATAATAGTAATGGGTGTCTTCCCCTAACTATATTTACTTACTCATTCATTGTTAGTATTAAATCGAACTCAGTACAGGGTATTCCGCAAGTCAATCACTTATCTCCCCTTTCTTTTACCAGGTTTGATGACGAGAGCAGCACGCCAACATTGCGTTCACCAAAGTTTGCGCCCAGTCCGCCGAACAACTACTACAAGGGCTGGTGGACCTATCCGTACTTCTCCTGCTCACTGAGCCGCTGGCTCGTCTCCTACAGCATTGCAATACCACCGAGTGGGCGGCACGGCCTGCGCGGCTTCATCAGCGTGGACATTGATGTGAGCTCGCTGCGTGTCAATCAGTGCGATGCACTGCCGTATCGCTTCAGCAGCAGCAGCAGCAGCAGCAGCACTCCGCCCCACTTGCTGCGGCAGTCGACGGTGCGCCGTGCCACAGCAGCAACAGTTGCTGCCAGCTACGACGTGGAGTCCATCCGAGACCTGCAAGCATTTCACAGCTCGCACAAATGCCATCGCGCCTCCATGGTGGTAAGCACCCCTTCCCCCTTCCCCTTTCACCCATTCTCACACACACACATACACACAGAGTAAGCCTTAATTAACAACCCTATTGCAGTGCGACTATCGCCAGCCCAGCTCGGAGTCAACGACAATAAGCGGGGCCAAACTGTTGCCGGGCATGATTAGCGGCAGCAGCAGCAGCTGGTCGCGCGGCGCGTATCAGTGCCTCTGCAAGCGGGGCTACTATTCGCTGCGGCATCCGGATGGCTTCAATGGCACCATCATGGAGATTGCCTGGCAGGAGCATCAGGACAATATAAGCAATTACTATACGGACGTATTCAAGTGTTTGCCGTGCGCCCCCGGCTGTGACACCTGCACCGGACCCGAGCCATGCCTGGCCAACTATCACTGGCCTTTCAGGTGAGTTGAGGCCAATCGACTTTTAGGACATGAGATGACGTGACAGGAAACTAACATAGAATGGGGAAAGTTATCCATCTATATACATCTATATAACAAATATGTATATTATTTTATTTATATGATTTCTTGGATCTTTTTCCTATGCATTCAATTCTATTTGACTCTACACACATATATCAATATATATATCCCACAGAATATCGCTGCTGACCATTTCGATTGGCTGCGCCTGTGGAACCCTTGTGCTGCTGTGCTATCTCTTCAAGCATCGGCGGGTCAAAGTCTTCAAGGTGGCCAGCCCCATCTTCCTGATGATCACGCTCATTGGCTGTGCCATTATGTATTTGGAGGTGAGTAGCTATAAAACATGTACGAAGGATCGAGAGAGGTGGGCAAAGAGGGAGCGCGTTACACTCTGCTGGCTACTTAACCCATTAAAAGTCGAGCTACACACAAAGAGCATTACGAATGGATGGCAGGACAAAGGCAGCCAAAGGCTGCTGATGTGACAAAGGGTCTCATTTTGGTCCCATTTACAATTGACCCACATGTTGTAAAGCCGCACTCACCACTCGCAGCACCTGCGGCTGAGGCAACATAAGACTCCGTTTTATGGCTTTTTAAATGCGGCTTTTAGGCACTCGCCACTGTCGACGGCATTCCAGCTTCTGCTATGCCGTTTGTAACTGTGCACGAGTTAATGAAAACTTTGCCCACGATTAATTATTTAGTTCGAGAGGCTCTAAAAGTGTTAGTCTGATGTGGTTACTATGTTAAAGCCACGCTGTTAAGTATTAACCAAAGGAATGTGGAATTGCATGTTAATGAATTTTATAGTTGAGCTAGAGCATGAATAATATCTAACAGAGAGACCTCTTCAATAAGGCACGATATATACACAGAGATGCCGTAACATGTGGAATTTTATTTTAACATTTAACAGCTACTTTACAGAGCCACTTAATGTGCAATAGTGTAGTTAACATAATATTTGTAATGCAAGTACAGGCTGTTATTCACATTTCTATTGCCATGTTAACAGCCTCAAGCAATGTTAGTTAACCTATATTCCTAGCAGTTATATATATATATATATACTACCTCTTATTTTGTGTAAATCTTAGTGAAATATCATCATGAATTGTTATACAAAGAGCAAGTGTGAATAATATTTGTTAACCAAACACTCTGTTAGCATAATGTAATACAACTGTTGCTAGATATCAGCAATATTTCAACTAGTTAATACTCAACTTCGTGTATATATGAACTTTGATGACTCGGCAGATTCGAGCCCAACATTTCATGCACCATTTGACAGGAATACTCACATGGCGTGCAGAGTATACTAACATTAGCCACATACAAATACATTCCTGGATTGTTTACAATGATGCTGTCAACATTAGCCAAACGACAATGGAACTCCCGTCGGACACATAAAAGACAAGAGAACAATGGGAAAAGCCTGCGAGTAACACGAGCACAGCAAATGGGTTAAAAGGTTGCGTGGAGATGCTGATGCTCGTTGTTATGGCAGCTGGGGAGCTGGGGGATCTGGGGGGCTTTCAAGCGTGTCATTTGCTAAATAAAAACGTAACTGATTTTTTAATCAGAGTCTGGGCTTTGTGTGTAAGTGTGTAAAACAAACTAGAACAACAATAAAACATTACAGCAACATGAGCGACCAGGAACGAGCTCTGAGCGACGGCAGAGATGCATCCCATGTCAACGATAGCGATAATGAGGCTGATGACGTGGGCGAGGAGGAGCAGGAGGTGGAGGGGGAGGAGGACGAGGAGGCCATGCAGGCAGCACTAAGGGAAATGGTTCAGGTGCCCGATATTGACCCCAAGCAGAGGCAAGCGCCAATCAGGCAACCGCCAGAGCCCCGCCACATTGGCAATCTAATTGAGAGACTCAAGAAGACTGCGTCGCCAGAAACACAAAAGAAATGGCTCAAGACAGTGACAGATGTGGGAATTCAATCGGAAAGCACCGCCGTCGACAAGCAGAGCACTCCCGAACACAAGCCAAGGAAAGCAGAGCCCTCGGGCGAGAGACTGAAGGAAACAGCCATGCCGCCAGGCACTTCGGCTGAGCCGCTGCCCACAGAGCAACAGCCCGAATCGGACCCAATAAAAAAGCCCGAGGCTGGCACGCAGATGTCGATGCAAAACTATTTGCAGCTCGCAGTTAAGCCCGAGCAACTGGAGCACACAACACCAGACGAAGAATCCAAATTGGAACGCATTGAAGCTGCGTCCAGGCCCAAGTCGTATTTTCAAATCAGGGATGAGGCCGAAGCTGCCATTGCTGCCTTAGCAACTCCAGCCAAAAAGGCGCATGTCGCCGTCAGACCAGAGATGGTATTGGAGCCAAGCAAGCACTCGACAGGCGCGATTAATATACTGACGGGCTCATTTCGACGCAGCCTCAACTTGGAGCCCAGCGATGAAGAGCCACCAACATCGAAAGCATTGCCCGAGGGCAAGAAGACAAAGTTCTTCACTAATTTGCCATTGTTTGGTCGAGGTAGAACAGAATCCTCGGCTGTCGAGAAATCGACTGCAGAAGTGCCTAACCAGGAGAGGCACACCACACAGAAGGCAACCAGCAGCTTTTTTTCTAATCTCACATCGTTTAAAAGAAGTCGACCAAAGCCCCATGAGAAGCAGACTGAGTCTATCAACATCACTGCCCCCAATCTGTTTGTGGATGAGGCAATGGAGGCTACCGAGGTTCAGACCACCCCAGTACCGAGCACGGGTGTGATTGGTGCACGGTATTCTCCAGTACCGAGCACTGGAATCATAGATACCGGGACTACTCCGGTGCCCAGTGCTGGAATAATAGATACCGGGACTACTCCAGTGCCGAGTACTGGATTCATAGATACCGGAACTACTCCAGTACCAAGCACTGGAGAGATAGATGATGGGTCTATTTCAATACCAAGCACTGGACTAATTTATGAAGGCTCTACTCCAATACCGAGCACTGGGGAAATAAACGAATCGTCTACTTCAATAGCAAGCACTGGTGTAATAGATGCTGGGTCTTCTCCAGTGACAAGCTTTGGAGTAATAGAAGCACGATCTCCTCCAATACCGAGCAAGTTAGTGATAGATGTGGGATCTACTCCAATTCCAAGCACCAGCTCAATGGTACAGGCCGAAGAATATTTCTATGACCCGGAAGCAGAAGGTGAAGACGAAGAACTAATTCAGTCAGATAACTACGGCGTAGTCACTTATCGAGAGCCTCTGATTGAAAATGCATCTACCATGCCCAATTACTTCAATCAGTCTGAAGAAACAGATGAACGATTGTCCAGCAGTTCAACCAACTCTAAAGAGTCGCTAGCTGAAAGAGCTTCATCCCAAGATGAAGAGACGGAATCTTCAATGAAATCTAATCGAGTTGAGGATTCTAGATCTTCAATTACAGCTAAGAACGGAGGCCATAATCTAATTCCAGGCAAAACTGCGAGTGCGAGAGCAGACCAAAGCATCAGTACAATCATATATAGGGAGCCCGATCTAGCTACAGCAGCACGAAGCTTAACCTCAACTAATCAACCTATCGAAGTCAATGAACAGCCCTCAACGACTATGACTGGCGAGGCCGAGCCAGCTAACCCTTTAACACGAACTGTAAAGGCCCTCACCTCCGCGTCTAGGCAACTGGAGGAGCCGATTATTAACTTGATATATAATTTTCCGATCTACGGCCGGAGTAGACCAACGCCAATCGACAGCAGCCCAGTAAGTGAGGAAACCCCCTTGCCAACTACTTCAGATCCAGTCAGCGTCGAGCAGCCGCCAAGTCTTTCCAGGATTGGCAGAGACAAACCATCAACAAATCAAGTGATTGCTCACGATCCGGAGAGCTCTACACCAATGCCTTGTGAGCCCAACATTGATATACGTACTGCTGTGCCAACTGATAGCGCCTGGGGCAGCTCAGCTAATAGTGCCCAGAATGAGTCGAACTCCAGCTTACGCCATCTGGTGCCAACTATGACCTACAGTGGAGCCTCTCACCTTACAGGACAGCCAAGAGCTTCGCCCGTTGAAGACAGTTCGGCTGTCGAAGGGGATATTCCGTCTACTAGCAATTCCTTGGCTACCAACATATTGCGCTACTTTTTCCCGTCAGATTCAAAAAATCACCCACAGCAGGATCACGTGCAGCAAGTCGCGATGCAGCCGTTGCCCAATGAAGTGATTATAATCCCGCCGCAGCTGCTGAAAGACAAAGATCACAAATCGGAGATCAGGAAGCAGGGCAACGATAAGAATAAGGAAAAGGAAGCGGCAAAGGATGGGGATGAGACGACCCAGTCCGGCCATGTGAGGCATTCCGAGTCGATGCGCACTCTGACCATAGTCGGACGGCACTCGCACATAACGACGACCTACCGGGATCATTGCCATTACGAAAGGCGCAACGAGGGCGTCGATAAGATCGCCAAGCGCAAGCTGATCATAGCCAGCGGCCTCTGTGTCACCTTCATGATCTGTGAGATCATTGGCGGCGTACTCTCTCGCAGCCTGGCCATAGCCACGGATGCAGCACATCTGCTGACGGACCTAGCCGGCTTTCTCATATCCCTGTTCGCCCTATACCTGAGCGCCCGCCCCTCCACGCAGCGCATGAACTTTGGCTGGTACCGCGCGGAGGTGATCGGCGCCATGCTCTCGGTCTACTTCATCTGGGTCATCACGGGCGTGCTGGTGTACATGGCCATAGAGCGGCTGGTCACGGGCAAGCATGATGTGGACGCCAAGATCATGCTAATCACCTCCGCACTGGCGATCGCCTGCAACATCATCATGGCCATCCAGCTGGGCCATGGGCACTCGCATGGCTCCCACGCCCACGGGGCGGCACATGCCCATTCGCCCAGGGAGCCGCGGCTGCGCCTGAAGCCGTCCGAGACATCCACCGTTCCGGCCGGCTCCAAGATGAATATTGTTAGTCCCGTTCTCAAGGAGCAGCAGGAGCTGCTGCCACTTTCCGTTTCGGCCCAATGCACCCGGGTCGACAAGGAGAACATCAATGTGCGTGCCGCCTATATTCATGTCATCGGCGATATGATTCAAAGTCTCGGCGTCTTCGTGGCCGCATTGATTATTTTCTTTAAGCCCAACTGGGCGTTTGTTGACTCCATTTGCACGTTCATCTTCTCGGTGATCGTCCTGATCGTTACCTTTCGCATCTTGAAGGACGTGCTGATGGTGCTCATGGAGGCGACGCCCGACTACATGGACTACGGCGAGGTGCAGCGCACTTTCCTCAGCATCGAGGGAGTGGAGCATGTCCACAACCTGCGCATCTGGGCGCTGAGCATCAACAAGATAGCCCTCTCCGCCCACTTGGCCATCAGCAAGGACGCTGATCCCCAGGTCATTCTCGACAAGGCCACCACATTGATTCACAAGCACTACAACTTCTTCGAGACAACCATCCAGATCGAAGAGTATACGCCTGGCATGGAGGACTGCAATCAGTGCATGACTCCCCAGGCCGAGGCCAAGACCGCCGATGACAAGGGCAAACCAAAGGATTACGTGAATGCCAAGGATGATGCCGAGTCATCGAAGAAATCGGCGATAACTTAACCTACAAACTCAGCCCGGCAAAGACTTTCTTCTTCTTTCTGTTGAAATTGCATTTGTATTTAGCCCGATTTCTTTTAACTTGGGAAATCTTCTTTTAATAAAGAAATTTTTTTGGTCGTAATCAATTCAGAGTTTGTGTCTTTGTTAACTAAAACTCTTTAATGTCTGTAGCATGTATCAACTTTTAAAGATGTATATATTGAAACTTAGTCAAATATCCTTACTCTCTTTATAGATGGTCGCCATATTTCCCTACCTGGATACCACCTGGTGCATTGCCACGAAATGGACGCGTCATATGGGTTTCTGCATCACCTACACCTCACTGCTCATGAAGACCTGGCGGTAAGTCGATCCCGCCCCCCCTCCCTCCCTCTCTCGTTCTCTTCCTCTAACTCTCTTGTCTCGCAGTGTCTCCTTGACATATCGCGTCAAGTCGGCGCATAAGATAAAGCTCAACGACCAGCAGCTGCTGCAGTGGATGGTTCCCATCTTGCTCGTAATGCTCATCTATTTGGGCACCTGGACAATTTCCGCCACGCCCTACGCTGAGGTGGTAAGTGACAGAGAGAAGAGTCAAGTCAATCGCTCAGCTATAATAGTCCTGAAACCTTCACAGATCTACGATCAGAATCACCTGAAATTCAAGCAGTGCTCGTACAATTGGTGGGATCACAGTCTGGCCATAGGAGAGGTGCTCTTCCTCGCCTGGGGCATCCGCGTCTGCTACAACGTGCGCAACGCGGAGAGCCTCTACAACGAGGCTCGCTTGATCTCCTATGCCATCTACAATATAGCCATTGTGAATATCGCCATGGTGGCTTTTCAGTAAGTCCAGCCAGCAGCTGTCGCACCTGTCGCACCTGTTGACGTTCTCTATTTAAATTGTTTTTCCTTCTGAAGAGCTTCACACACAATTTCAGTCTTTATCTTATTTATTTTTTCTAATTCCTACGCATGTCCTGGCATTTTATCTGCCCACTGCCACTGCCACTGCCACTGCCACGCCCACAATTTTAATTAAATTCCCTGGCTTTGTGCGCTCGCGCATTTCCGTTGTAATCCTTTTTGTCGCCCTGCAAGGACATGCTGTCAGCCTCCACAGCTGTCTATCCATCTGTCAGTCCCTCAGTCCCTCTGTCCCTCCGTCTGTCTGCCTGCTGCTTGCCTCTCGTCCCGCTCCGTCCGTCTGTTTACACAGACATTCCACGGATTTCATTGCCAAGCTCTTGTCCGACTCTTGCCTTCTGCCTGCCAAATGGAAATCCTTTCAAGTGTTTTGATAATTAATGCAATTTGTTGTTGTGTTGTCCACCTCGCCCTCTCTCCTTTTCCCCTCTGCAACACTCAACTTGTTGCCCTCTGTACTTGATGCTTAAGGCTTAGTCGTAGGTCAAGTTCCATTTCATGAAGTTTTCCGAGTCTGTCGGGGATTCAAATTGGGTTAGGTTAGGTTGAGCTGAGTTGAAAAAAGGTTAGGATTGATATAAGTAAATTAAAAGCATCTTTATACAAGTGGAGTAGGGCATTCGCTGACTGAAAGAGCGATTAACAATTTGATTGATCTAGCTGTTGAGGCTGATTGACTAAAATATACGAAGCGGGTATATAAGCCGTACTTACACTCTCCTAATCCATGTAACTCCGTATCTTGCTGCCTTAAGGCTACTCTAACTTTTCTCTGATATCCACCGCTCTCTTTCTTCCCCCTTGCAGTGTAATGCTCTTTCCAAATGCTGGACCCGACTACAAATACATGCTGGGCTTTGTGCGCACCCAATTATCCACCACGACGACCATTGCCCTGGTCTTTGGCCCGAAGATAGCGCGCGTCCTGAAGGGCCAGGGCGATAAGTGGGATCAGAAGGCCAAGGTGCGCAGCATCACAGCCTCGTTCTCGCTCAATGGCGTGGGCCTGGTGCCGGAAGAGTCGCCCGATCTGTACCAGGAGAACGAGGAGCTCAAAGTATGACAGCCAATGCAAGCGTGTAAGACTTTCCTTAAGCTCAAGCTCTTCCCCTGTGCAGGAACAAATCCAGAAGCTGGCGCACCAAATCGAGTTCATGAAGACTGTGCACATGCAGATGAACAACCGACATCTGAAGCCAAAGCCTGGCGGCTACTTTACCATCACGTCAACCTCATTCCAGGCGCCCTACAGCAAGAGCACGGTTTCCACGGCGCAAACACAAACCGGCAAGGATGAAGGGTAGGCAACCATTATGATAATTTAATTAGGATGGAATTAAATAAATACTTCTCTATATTGTAAATCCGTATATGTTTAATCCCAACAATCCCGATTTCTTTGCAGTTTGACCGGCAATGCGACGCCTTTAAAGTGCAAATCGCCGAAGGGCAAAGTCTGACGCGGTCAACGAAGTGTTAAAGATTGCTCAATAAATCTTGTTGATAAGCATGGAAGGGAGGTCGTGGATAATGCAATTGATTTTAGTTTCTACCAACAAGCAGACGAGCAGCAGCAGCAGCAGCAGCAGCAGTGGCGGGAATTGGAGCAGGAGGAGCTGGGGCTGGGGCTGGGGCTGGGGCTGGAGCTGGGCAACGATTCGGACTTGCTGCGTCAGTTCCATCGCATCTTTGCGCCCATTGTGGAGGACAGCTTGCAGCTGTACTACGAGCTGAACAGCAAATTCGATGATGATGCAGTGCAGCATGTACGCATACATCGCACTGTCGCCGAGCTGAACGAGTTGACCAGCAGCGAGGAGGAGACGCTGATGACGCAGCTGCAGTTGGCGCCAGAGCTGGAGCCGGAGCCGGAGCCGGAGCCGGAGCCGGAGCTGGAACTGGAGCTGCCCAGCGTGGAGAGCAGCTCAACCATTTCGACCACGTCGAGCAGCTGCTTGTATGCGATGCATACGCCTCCGCCGCCATGCCTCGAGTCGCCGCAGTCGGAGATCGGAGATGAGCCGTTGACCATAACGGAGCAGGTGCAGCTGCATGAGCCGCCGGGCGACAACAACAATGCGGAGCAGGAGGAGCACGAGCGGGAGCAGGAGCTGGAGGAGCAGCAGGACTCTAGCATCAACAACAACAACACCTCCTGCTCATTGTCCTCCACGCTGACGGATAGCAAAACTCTGGATGCTCGCACGCCCATTGTGGTTTGAAGTGGCGTCCAATTGGATTCCAATTGGGGTCCGATTGGATGTGGGTCTTCTGCTTTCTGCTTCAATTTGTGATTTCATTTACAACAACAACAGCAACAGCAACAACAACAACAACAACAGTAAACGCTTAATGTTTAAAACTAGTCTTAAATAATGTTTGTGTGTGTATGTGTCTCTAGCTCTGTCCCTCAACCGGGCGTAGGCGTCAGCCGTTGTTTGGGCGTGGCACGAAAGTAACCAGAAAGCGAGAGCTAAATGAAAGCGGAACCCAACGATGCGCCAATTGCGCAAGATTTATTTTATTAAAAAGCTCATTTTCATTTTAAAAATATTTAGGGAAAATTTAATTTTAATATTTCTTAATATTAATAATTATAAAAATTATTTTTCATGTAATATTATTTAATTGAAAACTAAGAAAAATTATTTATTTTTTAACTTGAACCCCATTTTACATTTTATTTATATTTTTTTTAAATATATATATTTTTTATAATAGCTCAGTAGTATTTATTTTTCATCAAATTTTAAATTTAATAATTTACATTTAGCTTTTTAAATTTACATTTAACTTTTCTATTCAGTTATAAAAATGCTTTAGACTATCTTATAATATACTATCCATGCCACGCCCAAAAATTAAACGACTTTGCCTAACATTGAACTTTTGAACTTCTAAATTCCCTAATTTGATTGGCTTTCGTTTTTAGCTTCTTACACATACGTCCATTTATTCTGGGTTTTCAAACATCTCTTCGATCATTCATCAACAAAATAGAGAAAAGTTACGAAAAATTGAGCAAATTTTTTTCACTTCGTTCGGATCGTCAAGGAACTTGGAGGAGTCACTGGCCGTGGGGAAGGGATGGTAGGGGTAGTTGGGGGGCCAGTTAAATTGTAGAATGTCAGATGGTAAAGCTCATAGAGCTACGCCCCAGGGCTTAGCCTGATCTTGTCCTTATTTCTCTCTCACTCTCTCCCTCATGCACCTTAGCAAAGAAAACGTAAAAGAAAATTCCTTATTTTCACGCACCCACACAGAAAACTTTGTTGCAATTCGATTCGACTTTCGACCTTAAGTATTATAATCTAGTCAAAATTAATTTACTTAACTCATCGTCAAGCTATATATATCCAATATATGAAGGTAAGGTTAGCAAAAAGAGTCGATTTTAGTCTAATTGGTAAAAAAGGCAGAAAATAAAAAATTAATAAATAATATTTGAATTTTAGCGTACAATTTTTAACAATAAAATATATATAAAATTAAAAAGAAAAAACAAAAACTGTTAACAGTCGCGCAATTTTTCAGAAATAGTTGGGCATTACGTATATAAAGTAAAAAACTTACAACAAATTATACAATTAATTAACAGTTAAGTTAATGTTTAATTAAACGTAAACATATTTTAAAAAAAAAATCAAAAGAGAAACAAAACAAAAATAAAAATTGCATAAATAAATGTTGATAAAAATAAAACGAATATAAAATGTTATTTTGTGCTCCACTAGGGAATGCTCGACTAGGAGATACCCTGATCCACATCACACAAGGATTATCCCATACCCAATACCCATCGGGGATCTTAGTTACTTTTGTCACAGGCTCCATTTATTTCGAGAGTTCCCAGCAGATTCAGTCACAAACTGTGAGTTTTCATTTTATCACTTTTTCACCCTGGAATCGAAATTTAGATGTCAACGGCGTAACTAAAGATCAGCATGGGCCGCAAGTCTGATCCTGGTCAGAGTCGAGTACTCGACGAAAATTTCGAGTGTCTGATGCGTGTGGCTAATTGCATTGGCGAGGACTTGGCGAGACCGAAGGATCGCGAGATTTGCTTTCAAACCCTTGAGGATCTGTCCAAATTCAATAGAAGTACCTCGAACGTCACCAAGCGTCATGTGCGCAAATTTCTCGCTTTCTATTTGCAGGTGCTGCGCTGGACCCAGGTCCATCAGCCGCTGGGACTATACGAGAAATGGGTGAGTAGGGAGACGGGGAGAGAGGGACAAGGAATGAGAGTTGATAACTTTTGCCCTCGTTCTTTCCAGTACAACACACAGTCGAAATCGGATAAGGGCAACCAGGAGTCGGACGAAATGCATGTCTGGCTAGAGCACGGGGTTTCCTACCTGGCCATGAAGCACTTTGACGATGGCTCCACCATTGTCTACTCAGCAGTCGCCAGGAACCCGGACAACGGCTGGGCAGAAGGCGGACTCAAGACATTAGTCTCTGGGGGAAACACCGCAGAGACGTCAACTACAGAAGTTAGATAACTGTATATACATTTAGTTTCGGCACTCTGAATCTGACTGATAAATATAAAACAAAAATACAAACCTTACATAGATTTCTCTTTGTCAAGTATGAGATTTCTCGCTTCATTTCTCGAGATTCGGTGTACAACTGTGGTGGCTTAAAGTTAAATACAAAATGTGGACGGAATGTGTAGCAGAGTGTATAAAATTTGCTTAAACTAAGTGTAATGGGAGCTTCCAAGTAGCTAAAGAAGGCACTTCGTGAAGGCAGCTGGACTAGCTTCCTAGCTGCGCATGAATGCTGCTGCGGCTGCCATCAGGGCGAAGCCCAGCAGCAGCTGCAGAGACTTGTGCATGGTTACGAGGCTGGCGCCGTTGCAGCTGTCGCTGGAGCAATAGCACTCCTCCCAGTACACGCCGTTCTCGTAGACGCCCCAATTGCAGACGCCTGTGACACCTGTGTCCGAAACCGACGCACAGCGACGTATTACCTGACGCCAGCGGCCATCCCCTAGGGGAACACAAAGCAGATATAACAAATGAGAGCAACAATTGATCGGCAACTACTCACAGATGAAGCCTCGGGGTCCCTGCTGAATCACCTTCATGCAGAAGGAGCCTGGCATGTGGGACTCATCGCTGTTGCACTCAATGGCAATGTGCTCGGTGCGATTGAACGCTTTGTAGGCGCCGCAGCTGTCGTACCCCTTGCGATCTTGGTCCGATGAGCACTGGTAGCAGCGTATGGCCAAGCTCCCTAGACAAGTGAGTAATTTCAATTAGTTAATGCTGGCAGACCACACCCAACATTGGACAATTAGCTAAGTAGACAATACAGCCTAATTAGCTATAAGCAACAGATTACCGCAAACATTTAGTGTGAGCACCAACAGGGCGCAGCGTGTTAAGCTCAGCATCATATAGCGTTCTTGTTATTTGTGCGTGTAAAAAGATTAAAAACTAAATTTACTTAAACAAAACAAGATGCTATGTGTGGAATGTGACCGTAACTAACGTTGATATTCTGTGTGAATGGTTAAAAATCATGGCGGCGGGTCGATTGCAGTACTGTTGGCCATTTACAGTGTTGGCTGCTGTAATGAATGTGGCGCGGATTTAAAAATGTTTGCATAAATGCAATATTAAATTATTCTAATTAAAATAAATTTTACACTTCAAAGTATTTGATGATATGTAAATGCATAGAGTTTTATTATTTAGTACAAATTGAATTAGTTATAAACATAAAGGTATACAATGTGACCGTATCAAATGTTAACATTTTGTGTGAATTGCAAGCAACTGCGTCGGTGGGTCGATCAGCAATTGTAACTGGCCATGTACAGTGCTGGTGAGCAGAGTTTGGCGCGCATTTTGAACATGTTCAAGTATGCGTAATAAAACGAACCGAACTTGAAAATAGATTTTTTGAATACCCTTAATGAACATAAATAAATTAATTAATACGTATAGGTAACTTTTTGCAAATAGTTGTCCGTTTTTTATTTGTTCTCATACACATCATTCTCATGTACAACATTGCGATATGTAACTATTTATGTTATGAAACAACTATAGAATTTACACATACATAATATATAATATAGATATTTAAATTGTTTGTTTACGATTAACAGCAACCACCTAGTAGGAGTATTTAATATAAACTAATGCTTATTTATTTAGATGTATAACTGTATATTTATGTATTTACAATGGGGGAGGGGGGAGCTTTAGAATATATATATGTGTATATATATAGTTGAAGCGCAGCCACAATTTACAATTAGAATAAATAAATAAAATACTATTTGATGTACACATAAATAAAATATTAGCATTGTTTTCTTGTTTTGTTTCTTTTTTTTTTTTTTTGTTGTTTGCAATTTGGCTAATGAGAGTTGTAATATCTAGATACGCTAAGTGAGGGAAGGGAGGGGCTAGGGGGAGTGGCGATATATTCGTAAAATACATATATATACAAAAAGTGTTTAAAATATACAAAAATCATATAAAATACTTTAACAAACGCATTCGCATTACTAAAATACTTCTTATTTGGGAAACAATGCGCAGCGAGTTGTGGATCGGGCACGCCAATATATAGGATATATACGTATGTATAGATAGATAGATATAATACCAGACATGCCTATTCTATGTATATATAGGAGAGGATCATTCAGTTTGTTTAGTTAATACTTATGTTTAGTTTACAAAGGCTATTTGCATTATCTATTTATATATAATATTTTGATTCTGCATATTTTAGTTTTGTTTTCTTTGCTTTTCTTTTGGAGTTGGCGATGCACTGGGATTGTCTCGAATTCTGTGTTTTGGCTTTACTTCCTCTCATTTTGCTCATCGCTCATCGTGTGCATCAGGCGCTGCGCTTGCTGGGCTGATAACAGTTTAAACTAGCCGAGAGCCGACCGAGCGCATGGAACATGCGATTTGGCAGACGCATCAACTGCCGCTGCTGCTGCTGCTGTTGCTGTAGAGGCTGTCGCAACTGCGCCAGCACCTCGGCATGCTGCACATAGGAGACCCGTATGTTGACTGCCTCGTCGTCGTCGCCGTCGCTGCCGCTACCGCTGCTGTCGACGTCCTCGTAGTAGGAGAAGCCCGCCGGCGGCAACTCGACAACAGGTGGCGCCACCGCCAGCGCTGCCGTGGACTATATGTTGGCGTAGTACGGCGCCGGCGTGTGCGCATCGCATGGCTTGACGCGCAGCTTCTGCTTGTAGTGGTACTCCTTGAGATAGCTCTTGAGACGCCCGGGCAGCTCCAGCTGATTGATGCCGTCGTAGGTAGTATTCGAGACGATGGTAGCGCGCGCCAGCTCCTGCAGCGAGAACGTCTGGCGGCGGTGCAACGGCATGGTCAGGCAGGGCTCAAAGAACATGACGCACGACGGGTCCTTGTAGTGCTCCAGCAGGCCGGTCACCGTTAGATCAGCAAACACGCAAGGATCATGGCAATCGAAGCTGCAAAGACAATAGAATTCGCCAAATTAGTTCAAAGTTTTAGCATGAGTGTAATTAAATTTAATTTTCAATGAATGATGCTGTGCTTGAGCAATTTAGCTGGAAATGCTATTTGACGTTTCAAGCGTTTTTAGCTTGAAACGCCATTTAGCTGGAATCTCTTTTTATAGCAATTAATTTAGCATGAATAAATATGTATGTACTTTTAGTGCTGCGCGTTAAATGTCGTCGGATCTAGTTCATGTGAATTTGCACGGCACTATAAGACAAGACATCGCTAGGCACCTTTTTGGAGCTACTTGGAATTCATTAATGAATGCATATGTTTGATGATTAATTTTGTGGTATCGATAACACGCGACAATAAAACTCTCAGCTCTAACATGAAAGGGGAACGAGCTCTCACTTTCCAATATACAGCATTCCACTGTTACATGTAAATGTATGTATGTATATACGAGTGTGTATATACATATGTACACATGTACATATGTATGTATTTATGTTTCTGCATATATGTATGCATCGACTCACCTAAATTTGTGGCCACTTTGCTCGATGCGCGCATGCAGCGAACGTCCGTACTTGCGGAATGTAACGGAGAATAGGAACTCCTCCTGCGCAGAGTCACGCAACAGGAACGTGCCCTCCGGCTTGCCCTCGAGCAGACGCTCCGCCTCGTAGCGGTCCATCTTGCCCCAGTAGAAGCTGCTATTGATGATCCGCTCCAGATCCGGCACCAGACAGTGCATGAAGTCTATCTGCGAATGCACCGTTACACCGGCACCGTACGGATTCACAGCTGGCGGGCAGGTCTGTTCGATGGCGAGCGGCAGCAAAGCTGCCGTACCAGCAGCAGGCGCTGCTCCCTCTGCGGTAACCAGGCGTATATTGTGACCCACGGCGGCGACCATGGGCAGCGTGTTGCGATTATTTTGACTGGCCGCAGCGGGCTCCACGACGAACTGCGGCATTGGCTGCGAGCTGATGCGTATGATGACGTCGCCGATGCCATTTGGAGGCGCTGCCCAAATGGCCAATTGGCTTGGCTCCGCAATGGCCACGGAATTGCGCTGAATTCGCTGCAATTGTGATGCCGCTGCTGCTGCGCTGCCACTGCTGCTGCTTAGCGTCGGCGGCGTTGAACGTCTGTCGGCGCTGCTGCGCGTTTTACTCCTAGGCGCTGCGGCTGCTGCTTCCTTTTTATCCTTGCTGGCCTGAGCGCTGCTCGAGCTGGACTCTAGTATGCCGCGTATTCCACGCAACGCATCTCGACATTTGCACTTGCAGCATCGTCGCTGCTTCGATGTGGCTGCGGCTGCGGCTGCTGCAGCAGCTGAATTCGCTGAGAAGGCTTTGCTGCTGCGACTGCGACAGCAGCTGTTGCCCCCACCGCTGCTGCTACTGCTAGTGCTAGCAGCTGCTCAGGAGAGAGAGGGAGAGAGAGAGAGAAATAAAGACGAAAATAAATAACTGTATATTTGTGAATGAATTCGCTCGGGAGCTCACCTTGCGCACGTTGTTGTCCGCTCGACAGCATTTCGCTAACTGGCTGTGGCTCCAGCACCTCACAATACTCGACGCCTTCACCGCTGCTACGACGTAGCAGCGACGATAATGCCACTTCCAATTCGCCTTCTTCGCCGACAGCGTCGTTGACGACGACGTCATCATCGTGCAATTGTAACATTCTGACTGATGCCGGCGCCGACGCCGACGCTGACGCTGACGTAGATGCCGACACCAACGCAGCACTTCCCGCTAAATTGTTATTATTCACAATTTGTCTTTCGTTTGGTTTTTTCGGTGCTTCCGTTGAAGAACTGCCCGCAGTTCTACTAGCACCTGTGCCCATTTGCTGCTCATTTGCATTGGCTGCGTCGTCCGCAGCAGACGCAACGGCGCTTTCTGCCAACGGCAATTGCTCACGCTCTCCCTCTCCCCCTCCCACAACCACGACCGCCTCCTCCTGCTGATTGCCATTTTCCATTTTTGCCAATTGTATTTTAATTATAATTTGTCGCACCTCAGCTAACGCCTCATCGGCGGCTGCTGCTGCTGCTGCCGTTGTTTCTGTTGTTGTATTCGTGCCGCCAG